ATGTGCGTGATATGTCGGCTGAGAACCCGGAACTGACTCGGCGCGATCGAGCTTAAGGGTTATTTAGTCCTGTCAAAAAGCCCTTTCTCCCGGCAGAAACTAGACTCACACGCTGATAGACAGTGCCGCCTAGGTGAACAATAGATAGGTGGAGGGAGAGAAGGCCTTTATCTTGGTCTGGACAAACTTTTAAGACAAAATACTCCACAGCTGGTTTTCACCAAAATCATGCTGTTGGCCTAAATAAGCAACCGGTCTTTATCGTCGGTTGAAGATTGACGCACAGAGAAGGAAATTTCGGAGTCGCTGGCACATCACAAAAGTAGATGACGGTCTACCGTGTGGCCAACAGCGGGACTTGCGCCTGAATTAGTTTATAATGACAGCTGACTTGCGCAGCAACTATCGCACCCCCTCTTCTCCTTCAGAGCCATGGTTGAGTGTTATGGCAGAGCCAAGAAGACCGGTGATGGGAGAGGGCGGAGGTGTATGGCGTGGCGAAAATCCGCACCTAGGTGTATCACCACACCTCCTGGTTCACAACAAACAATGGCCAAATTGTTCTGACTATTTTGTCGCATTCCACTGCCATCTGAATCCGATGTCATGACGCAGTTAGGAAGACTAGAGACAGAAGAGAGCGCAGGTGGCTGGCACGGTGAAAACCCGCGCCTTAATGAGTTCAGATTAAAAACGAGACAGACTGGGGACAGCAGAAGCACACAGGGTGCATCAATTGTGCAACCATATACGGTGGGTAAAATGTGTCGGAATTAACAAATAATTGTTAACCACTCGCAGACCGACGCAATGCATGCACCCGATATTTTTTAGTAATAAATGGACTCAGGTTAAAAACAAGACAGACTGGGGACAGCGGAAGCACAAAGGGTGCATTAACTGTACAACCATGTACGGCAGGTAAAATGTGTCGGAATTGACAAAAAATTGTTAACCACTCGCAGACCGACGCAATACATGCACCACATATCTTTATTAATAAATAAAACCCTTCAAGGAATCGAAAACGTATCATGTTGTTCGGAAATGGTAATTTTTTTAGAAATGCCGTAACTTCCTAAACCGTCAAAAACGGTTGTACTAGGTTCGGACAAAGGTTCTGCATCGCTTGCAGTGAAATTTATTTTCATATGTTTTTTGAAGCCTCTGTCCATATTAACACATTATCCTGATGCTTTTTTTTTAGAAATTTGCAGTGTTTACGAAGCTTTTTTTTGGTTTTTTTGTAAAGTGTTCAACCTCAACCTAATTTCTATATTCCAGAAGCCTTTGAACAAAAATAAGCTTGGAGTGCTGACTGTCTATTGGTGGAATTTGGACTGGGATAGCTACAGCGGAGATCTGTGATGCCGAAGGCAAAGGGGTCGTCTACGACAATGCTTTCTGTTGGCACAAGCGTTTTAAGTCTGGCGACATTAATTTGGAAGACCAGTCTCGCTTCGGCCGACCACAAAAATGGGACAACGAGGACTTACGCCCATTCTTGAACGTGAACCGTCATCGAGCTGTCGTTATTTGGAAGCAGCTGTAAGAGTCAATCCAAAAACGGCCTTGAAACATCTGGATAAACCTGACACTGTTCATCAGAAGCCCCATCAAGACCCACATGAACTGACCGAAACAGAAGTCAATCGACGCGTTTAAATTTGCCATCAGTTGTCAGACAACCCTCTAAACGATCATTTTGGGGAGCACATCCTGACGTCTGATGATATCTGCGTTTACCCGATCAATCAGAATCGACAAAGGGAATGAGATCCAAGAGTTCTGACTGCCACTTAAAAATCAGCCGGCACAACGTCACTCAATCGAGAAATATTTTGTGATATTGATTGTCAGAGTTGTATATACAATCCCTGGAACAAGGGCCTTATTAGCCTGACGTTTAGGATTCTCACTCGAATAGACCATCAGAGGCAGAGTTAGATAGGAGTGGTAAGTTGCACAGGCGTTGAAGTATTTATAGGATGTAAGCTGGTCGTAAGCATGGCTGCTCAGTCATCCTCGTCTCTCTAACCCGCTCTGGTGCCGTTGGTGATTTAAATCCTGATCAAGTGTTTGTTTTGGACCAGAGGGTGTAGTAGTATCCCTGGGTGCGGAGCCGACCGTGCCAGTCACCTGAGTCCTCTCTCGCCCACGGTCTTCTTGATTCTGTCTTGATACCGGACCGAGGTGGGGAGGGAGGAGTGCGATAAGTGTTGTGCAAGTCTACTCCCACTATAAATTAATTCACGCGGGAGTCACTGTGTCTGCTACCATCTTGCGGTGGAGCACACTATGGACATCGTCAAACACTACGACCGAACTGTTATGACTTAATCACGTGCCATTTCAATGAGAGTAAATCCCTATTGCCACGTGCTGTATTTCCACGGCTTTATGCTGTACGCTCAACGACAGAGAGTCAGACTCTATTAGCAAAGATCCCGAGTTCCAATCTCAAATGATTCACAATCGAGGTTGGGTATGACTGGTTAATGACGGTTAATAAACCAGAAATGGGGTCGCTACGGTCTTTGTCGTCTTTGTCGGTTATAACATTCAGCCTATATATTTAGATTTTGAAAGGCGACTAACACTAGGCGCATTCTCCACTTCAGGGACAGCCATCCCGTCGGTCATAAACGCATTTGTATCAGGAACTCATTTCTAACACACCGCAGTGACGCCGACGACAGGATGAAGCAGGTGAAATACTTACGTTCCCGCTTTGAAGCCAAAGGTTACCCAAAGTCGTTCATACGTAAGTGTCTCAGGAAGTCCCACTCTGGGCGGTCGAGCGAGGATAAACCAAAGTTCTGGCTCTCGATTTTCTGTGTGAAGAATGTTTCAGAGGCGACTTCAAGAATTCTGAAACCTTTTGAATCGGTGTGACCCATAAACCAGCATCAACAATCACACAGCAGATCATGAGGCCCAAAGACCCATTCCCTGTAACAGAACAATCAGCGGTGATCTACGGCATCCCATGCCAAGACTGTGATGCGAGGTATGTTGGTGAAGCGGGAAAACGTCTCGGTACAGGAGTGCACGAGCACCAGCTCGTAGTTAACCGCAAGGATAAGCTGTCGTTGATGCATGACCACAAACTAGAGCGGAACCAGAGTTTCGCCTTTGAGAAAGCGAATGTGGTCCGCCGAGCCAATGATAAGGTGGTCAGGCTGATGCTGAAAAATCGGTCCCTGACTGGCACGCTCAACCGAGCCATAGACTTACATCCCGCCTACCAGGCGCTCCGCGCAAGGCTCGAGTCAGTCGGACGATGAGGACCCAACGACTCTTCCATTCACGGCACTTCTGATCCGAGCCATTTGCAACCTTGTCCATCTCGCGCGAGCGCAGGCGGGCTGTTCAGCTCTGTCGTCCACGATGCCCACACCCCCTCCAACCGCTCCAAATCTGTCGTGCCATCGAGCCCAGGATGGTGAGGGAGGAGCGTGTGTGATGTATGCTGCGCAAGTCTTCCACGAGTAGACGGCCTTCTTACGTCGACATGCAATTACCAAACTGCACTGTTAAGAAGTAAAAATTCTAACGTTTGCACATGGAATAAAGCTTTTGCAAAATGTGTCCTGGATCGTCGAGTACGTTTCAGCGCTTCTGCTGGTCAGGTTGATGGCATATTTAACGGTCTTATTACCACCGTGTTTATTTAATGACCTGTTATCTGGTGGCATTCACATACTAACATTTTATATGAGAAGAAGCAGCATGAAGAAGTATGGTATCTTGAATCTGATCTTTTTACACAGTTAATCCATTGAATGTTTGTGAACGATTTTCTGACCAAATTTAGTGTCTGCATTAAAAAAAGCTAAACTAATTAAAGTGACTTGTTAGATTTAGGAGATGTCAAATTTGAATTTAGATTTATTTTACAAAATTCCTGTGAATGGGGGAGACCCCTATGGATGGAGAGTCTTACAGAATATCCTCAAGCAGTTTCCCTACTCTCTGCTTACTTGCTTACGCCTTATTCGCCCATATCTGGTCTCCCGAATCCGGAATTGAACAAACTGCCTGAAAGACAGCTATAGTAGGTGAACTAACTCAAGAAAAATCCCGAAAAGCGTTTTCGTTTCGAAAATATAAATTAAGTAGGGTAGTAAAACTTTTCCAATTCCCGAATACTTTTGAACTCGCTGCACTGTAACACTCGGATTTAAAGTTTCGAAACTACAAGCCATATATTTTCCGCTTACGGAAAACCACACATTTCTCTACGGTAATAAAGGGGGACTAAACAGGATTCATGAAATTTAGCAGAGGATTTGATTCATATTGTTAACTTTACAAGTCACATTGGTAAATGCAGAGACATGGCGATTTATGAACGGTCATTTTACAATATTTAAAAGTCCCACAATTATAAACTTTTTTAAAACCTAATTATGTCGCTTCTTGGAGTATGGATTGGAAAAAGACGTAATTTTCTACCTTATAAGCAAAAGAATGGATATTTTTGTGCATGTTTTCCGTGAAATATAATTGGACTCTTAGGGACATCGAAATTCAATGAGAAAAATTTATGCTCTGTAAGTAGTCATTTTTTGCGGAGTGTAGTTTTTGCATGCTGCCAAAAGGACGTTCTTTCGAAAGCCGGCATCCTGAGCTAACTGAAATATTATAGAATTATACTGCAGACGGGTTAGTTTTAGAACCCTACTTAATCAATCTTTTCGAAACGAAAGGGCAGTTCGAATTTCGATTGACATTTCATGAGTTATCCCACCTACTGCCCATATGTGCGTCCAGACTGCAGTTCGTTTCCGCCCACGTAAAGGTTACCTCATACAATGCAGCGTTTTACGCGGAGTATGAATTTGTCTACATTTCCAACAGTGACTGCTCTGTTTCCCGGAGTTGTGGTTCGATGATGCTTTCGCCAGTTGACCTGCACGAATTGTGGGATAAAGTACGGTGTATTGACAAGTGTCAGTAAGCCTTATGGGGAACGCCTCGCGCCCCCACACACACACATGCACACCCAGCGTGCCAACGTCTCAATAAAAGCCACAGCCACTGCGCCGCCTCCCAGGACTGATTCGGCGATGCAGCTGGCGACGGTGTTTGTGATTCTGGGCTTGCTCATCCTTTCTCGTGGTAAGCTCTTATTTATCTACAATTTCATGCAAATGAGACGCTTTAGTGCAATAAACAATCGAGGAAGAAGATAGATAAGGCATAAACGCATAGCAGTTCTGTGCTTTGATAATGCAAAACGTAACCATTCCAGTGTTTTGAAGTTACACGAGATTAAATGGGCCACTGGTTGCATTGTTACATGATATATAAAACTATACGGTACATCTACTAGCCCATAGAATGTGCCAAAATATACGAGGCGGTGCCAACAACTCGCAAACCAGCACAAAGCATCGAAATATTCATAAACTGCTCTAACCGAGTCGAAAACCTTAACAGGATATAAATTAATAGGACATTGTTTGGAAATGCCGACACTTTTAAGAGAGCGGAAAATTTTGAATACATCGGAGTTGTTGTAAATGCTTGTCAATACAAAGAATATTTGAAAGTAGTCCTTTGTTGAGATTTTCACCTCAACATTTTTACGGGCCAGTGTAGTGTCAAGTGTTATACTTCGCTAAATAGCGTAAATGTTTGAGTGTAAATTCCAACATGGTTAGTGCATCGCTGGGAGCAAGGTCTCATCTGTCGATCAGTCGCCGAGCTATATTACTAACGTAAATTTCTACCACAGAAAGTCACAGATTAAATCATAGACTTCAGTTGATCTCCCTTATTAACTGACCCAAAATGAGACAACCTAAATTTCAAGTTAAGGTAAGGTACAATCGCAAACAAACCATTTTTTAAATATTAGGAGAAAATTTTTTCCATCACATTTATCCGAATTTCTTCTTGTGGGGGAGTACGCTGAGTTTCAGGTTATTCTTTAAATATCGAATAATATTTTAAGTTTTCCAGAGTTTTGATCGACTGCTCATAGGAGTAGGTTCTGCGCTATGTGGTTATCAGAGACTTTAATGAAAGATATTTCTTGAAGTATTTCCCAAGGTAGCAAGTGTTTGAGTATCCTTTCTAATGAAGTTTGGTCACGTGTGTAGACTCACCAAAACCTGAAAGATTAGTTCCAAGAAAAACGAGGGTCCTTGACAAAAGCTGGCAAATGTGTGTTATAAATCAATTAACAAATTTTTTATACGTATGTAACCTCTCCAAAAAGCGCTTTTGTGAGGTATTTTTCAGGGAAAAAGAAAGTACGGCGTTCGGTCGACTTTTTTTAAAAATAGTGAGTATAAAGGTGAAACACTGTGGTAATATAAATAGAAATATCTTGCAAAGTCTGTTGGTCTTCTGGCCGTTTTGTTTCACATTACGTATTAACGAGAAGAAGGCCATAAAAAGAATCATTCATTATACTTCAAAGTTAACATAGCCACTTTGTGAGGGCGTCTTTTTGCATTACGCTACAGAGGAAGATGTCGAAACGTTTGAACGAATGACTGCCGCAGATGTTTTTACTGCGCTTTAAAACATAAAATCATACAACTGCAAATGTGATTTTTAAAATCTGTAAGACGTTTGATTTCCCGGAAAAAACTCTGTTTCACCTAATTTGCGTGGAGATTGAAGTTTCTTTTCAAGTGTTGCAATTTTTATTCGATAAAACTCGAATGCCCAAACGTAGTCTAGAAGAGCCATTAATAAAAGGAATCTCCTGAATACACGGAAACCTAGATGTTCGTTTGCATCTGTTAATATAGTGACTAAAATTGTTTATAAACATATTCCGCATATAGAGAGGAAATTTTCCAGAACGGAATAGACGAATTGATAAAACGTACAGGACTTTCGGCGTCTAAAATTGATTATATAAAGTTTCATCATCACGTTTATTGAATTAGATAACATACATAACATAACATTCTATTTGTATAGGGGTTAGGATAAGGTGTTAGGAGTTAAGGATAGGGGTTGGGGTTGGGGATTGGGGTTAGGGTTAGGGGCTAGGGATTAAGGGAAGGGGTTGAGGTTGGGGGTTAAAGTTAAGGGTCATGCGTTAGCATTAGGCGTTATGAGTTAGGATTAGGGGTTAGGGGGTTAGGGTTAGGTGTTAGGGGTTACGGATAGGGGTTGGGGTTGGGGGTTAAGGTTAGGGGTTATGGGTTGGGGTTAGGGGTTAGCGAATAGCTTTAGGGGTTAATATTAGGGGTTGGGGTTAGGGTCAGGATTTAGGCGGGACCTGTCTACTACAGGTATGGCTACGAGGTAAGATTCGACCTTCAAATTTTCTGAGCAATTCATTTTTGGTTTCTTATTTATGATATCAGCTTCAAAAGTGACTGGCCTCTAAGTCATGCATTTGGTCTCATCTGTTGATCAGTCGCCGAGCTATATTACTAGCGTCAATTTTTGCCACATAATGTCTCAAAGTAGATTGAAGACTTCAGTTGGTCTCCCATATTAGCCTGCCAAAGTATGCCTACGTTGAGTATTCAACTGTAGGAGGGCCCAATAATACGTCCTGATATACAGTAAGTGGGCTTATTCATAAAATGTCAACCGAAATTCCGAAATATGCTTCCATTCCAAAAAGATTTATTAAGGAAGGTTGTAAAATTAACCATCATGCAGAAAAATTTATTATAATTTATTTACCTCAGGATGCCAGACTTCTAACGAACTTCTTACCAACTGCATGCAAAAACTGCATTATGTAAAAAGTGACTGCTTACGTAGCATGCACTTTTCTCATTCATTTTCGATACCCTTAGAAATTCAATTGTATTTCTTGGAAAACACGCAAAAAATATTCATTCTCTTGCTCATTCGGTTGAAAATGACGTCTCCTTCCAAGTTTATACTCGAAGGAAGAGTAAAATTCGGTTTTAAAAAAGCTTCTCATTATGGGATTTGTTAAGGGCCCGAAATGGTCGTTCATTAGACGTCATGTCTGTATTTATAAATATGGCTTGTTAAGTTAAAAATATGACTGAAATTCACTGCTGAATTTTACGAGATATGTATGGCTTTCTTTACGCGAAACATACACGGCTTATAATTTTGAAACCCTGAATCCAAGTGTAACGGCAGGTCGGATTCAAAATAATTCAGGAATTAAAAAAGTTTTTGGAAACCGAATTGTACCCTTCCTCTAAATACAAAATTAAAAGAAGACGTTGTATTCTACCAAATGAGTAGAAGTATGAATATTTTTGTGCACGTTTACCATGAAATATGATTAAATTGTTTAGGGCATTGAAAACCAATGAGAAAAATTCATGCTGCATAAATAGCCATGTTTGCAAAGTGTGGTTTTTGGATGCAGCGGAAAAGAAGTTCGTTCGAAAGCCGGCATCCTGAGGTAACTAAATGATTATCGAATCAGGCTGCACGATGATTAGTTTTACAAGCCTGCATAAGCAATCTTTTTGAAACTAAAACGCGTTTCGTAATTTCGGTTAACATTTCATGAGCTATCACACCTAGTGTAGGGAAGTCTATGTGCCATCCTTTCAGAGTAATGTTTCAAAGGGCTAATATTGCATTAAAACCGTACGCTGGCCTCAGTATAAGAAGGTCTTGGAGTTGCACAACTCGCCAGGATTTTACACAGCAAGAAAAAGGTGTGCAGCGCGGACCCCAACTGAGTGGGAGTCCCATAAAGACCAAATTAAGATGGAGTCATCGCAGCCTGATTCCCCATCCCGCAGAGAAGACCGAGCGGTTTCATCATTTGCGATGAATTATTGGACACGTAACATCCACAAAAGTTCTGGACTGAGTCGGGAGACATCCCAAGTACACTGAGCAGTTGAAGCATCTAGAAGTCAATCTCAAATAACTGCTCTTTATAATAAATGTATAAATGTATAAATATATATATATATGGGGGGGGGAGGAGGAGGAGGAGGAACGATAAAGAATGCGGGTAGATTGATACAGGACCGTTTCGGGTTTAATGTGCCTTCATTTAGCCAATTATAACCCTGACCAGCAGCTGGGACCAGGAACAAAAACATGCGCACACACATATATTTATTTATTTAAAGTCAAATACGTTCTTTAGGAAAAGGAGAAAATTTTATTGAATAAATTTTCGATATTGGGTCCCCGTGTCGTCGTCAGACTAGACTAAATGTGCAGAAAGCAATTAACATTTCAAACGTGCTACAAAATCAATAGTCATTTGGTACTTCAGTCAGTATGCTGCCGTCGTATGCGTCAGTCCGTATTGATCGGCTTTCGTCTCCCCCACTTTTTTGAGATTTTTCTACGTGGCATCTAATTCGATATGCCTGTTGATGCATACATATGTGTATTTTCATTTCGTCTGACGACGCGTTGGTGTCACCAGCTCGAAAATTCACGAGTACAACTCCACTTTTCCGAAGAACCTCTTCTATTTTTTCATATACATAAATATATACAACAGATGGGCACTCACCAATCGGGCTACGGAACGTGCTTGTCTCGTTCTGTTTTGAGGCTCCAACTAGAACTCACGCAGGCAATTGCAGGCGCTGGGAGTCCACCGCACACTCTCTTCCCTATCTCAGGCATCAGACCATTGTCCATGCCGATCAGATGTCTGGCAGCGCTGGAACTGCACATAATCGACCCCCTCCCCCACGCACACCGGGTTTGCACACGAAACGGAGTAGACGGCTCCGTCTGCCTTTCGCTCCATCAGCGCACAGATTCGCACTGGGCTGACTGTTAGGTCTGAGTTGAGTCATCAGTTGGCAACTTTCCAAGACACGGCCTCTAGTGAGCCGTGATAGATTCAAGCGCACTGAAAGTTGACCTCAGCCGTTCTACCCTATCCAGTCGACTGTCTGATCTGGTCAACTAACTGATGCCGAAACTAGTTGAGGTGGCTTACAGAGCTAGGAATTTTCTGTCTGCGCGCATAACACATACGAACCAGCCCTCCCGCCCACACACACACACAAACACACCAGGATTTCGACAAAAGGGAGTAGACTGCTCATATTTCACATGCGGCAGAGGAACCGCAACACGTACTTCTCACTTACGCTGATACCGGGGGGCGTTCAGGCGTGTTGCGTGTCTTGGTTGAGAAATGTGTACGGATGCGGTCTAGTCTACGGTCATTTAGCGCAGATTTTCGTGGAGATGCATGCGATCGAGTAAGCCCACCCGATGGCTAAATTTGCGAGGGCAGTGCGGGCGGTTGTGGCGATGGCGTCTGGTGTGTGTTGAGCCTCCAGACTTGTGCGATGGACTCGCAAGTGAACCACCGGGCCGATGAGCAACGTGGACGTGAGGTTGCCGTTACGGTGTTGTTAGTGGTGGGCGCACAAAAATTCGACATCCTTGCGTAACGTGTACGTCAAATCCGAATGAAAATCGCCGGGGTGTCAAACTCCGTGACAAAAGATCCCGGCTTCGAATCTCAGATGGTCCACACTCGGCGTTGGGTGTGATTGGCTGATGACGACTAAAAAACCCTTGTCTTTGTTAGTACTATCTCATTACGTCTACTACCAGTCGCTGTAAGACTGCCTGCGAGGGTTCTAGTATGAGCTCCAAGGTACAACGGAAGGAGCATGTCCCGTAACCTGAGCAATGAGCGCCCATCTGTCATATTATATATATATATATGCCTGCATGTTCACCTGTATAGTTGAAACTGAAGAGCGATCACATGCATGCATATTAATCGATTCATCTCATTTCAGGAGACGTGCAATGCATTCTGCTGTTTGCCAATAGCACTGGGACGGACTCCATTTACTCCTCTTGGGCCACGGTTTTCCCCCACGGCAATGCAACGTTTAGAGCCACCATCGAATGTCTTGGCGGTCACCGAAAGGAGGTGCTGCTTTCAAAGATGGAGTACGTGTGGAGCGGACTGCCGGCATTTACGCAATGTGAAATTTCAGTAGCTTACGCCAACGACAGCAACATAGTGCAGGTGAAAAGAGTTACCACCTGGCCGACTGGTGAGTTCAGTTGAGCGGGAAACTGTCGTGAATGCTGGAAATATTCTAAAAATCATCTTTTTCGCCCACCGAAGTTTACAGCAATAGACCGAGGTTAAAGAATGCGCTCTACATCCCTACAGCATGGCGAGCGCGGGGACGCCGACTTGCGCAACCATGGATTAGTTGGTAGTGGTAGTGGACTTGCGCATCATCTAATGCACTCTCTCTTCCCCACCCGTCTGCGCGTGCCACACCGAGACCGACCTGCATGTAGTGGGCCAGGCTTACCCAAATCAAGGAACGCCATGGAGGCTATTTTAAAGGCGCTTTAGCAGTCTGAATCCCTCCTAAAATGGCCGAATTATCCGTCCACGGAGATGGGATAGAGATCCTCAATCAACTTGCTAGTTGGCCAAGGATTTCCCGCGATCCCTGTTGATTCAGACCACAGATGCGAGGGCCGGTTTTGATTAGTGTGTCACAGGTGTTTCATGGTGGTTACCCTAGCTTCCGCCTTTTTGCACGACTTCGACAGAAACCGATATGGGAAAATAGGAATAAATTTTCAGCAAAAAATGCACTTAAGCTGAGCTACAGACTTGAGATGCTTGGTAACAATTTATATTAACGAATAGAAAACCGAGCTGAACAATAAAATTTTTGTGTTTTTCACAGTTTATAGCGCATACCCTAAGTCGTTAAAATGCATTTAGGGATATATTGGTACCAAAAAATTTCGCGACTGCTCTCCAGCTGCTTCCTGTCGCTTCATAAGTGAGATAACGAGTGAGAACAATACAACAGATTTGAATTCGTGCAGAAAATCGATGCAGAAACAGCAAGGTTAGGGTTTTGGGCAAAGTTAGCTAATCGATAAAGTTAGTAACACAAACGCCGTAGGAGAAGAAAGTGAAAAAAGGGGGGAACGTTAAAGAGCAAAAAAGAGAGGAGAGAGGGAATCATGGAGCTAGAGGCTACCATGGCAATGTTAGGTTAACCACGTGCTCCAATTGTTTACAAAGATCTGGTTTCACTCGTCGTATATAAACTGCCTCCAGGTAACGCAACGTCCGAGTTGTTCGTGCCCGAACAAGTACTCGGAAGGAAGTTTTGGGGTCGACGGTGTGACCAGTATCAAGTAGGTGTTTCGTAATGGATGAACGCGGGATCTTTGCCCTTTAAGGGCGACAATATTTTAAATACTATCAAACGACGGCTACGTTCTGCCATTGAAAGGACATACAATGCAGCCGAACTAGCATTCTGCAGTTCTACTAAGCCACTTCCGATTCCACGGGCAAAGGATGCCCTGCCAATGCATGCCACGTCAAATTGTGTTTATGAATTCACATGCACTTGCGGATGCAAGTACATTGGGCGAACGCAAAGGCAGTTGGCAGCCAGGTCCATTGAGCACCTGCCCAAGTGGCTCCTTAGACAAGAAAATAAGATCCCGCGTTCATCCATTACGAAACACCTACTTGATACTGGTCACACCGTCGACCCCAAAACTTCCTTCCGAGTACTTGTTCGGGCACGAACAACTCGGACGTTGCGTTACCTGGAGGCAGCCTATATACGACGAGTGAAACCAGATCTTTGTAAACAATTGGAGCACGTGGTTAACCTAACATTGCCATGGTAGCCTCTAGCTCCATGATTCCCTCTCTCCTCTCTTTTTTGCTCTTTAACGTTCCCCCCTTTTTTCACTTTCTTCTCCTACGGCGTTTGTGTTACTAACTTTATCGATTAGCTAACTTTGCCCAAAACCCTAACCTTGCGGTTTCTGCATCGATTTTCTGCACGAATTCAAATCTGTTGTATTGTTCTCACTCGTTATCTCACTTATGAAGCGACAGGAAGCAGCTGGAGAGCAGTCGCGAAATTTTTTGGTACCAGTAAATCCTGCCGTTCTTGCCTACTTCAGCTTCGTACCGGGGACAAAATGCTTCAAATTTAGGGATATGTTTAAAGTAAATGTGGGTTTCGCAAACTCGCTACCTTCAAAGATATTTGACTACAATGGTCGGTTTTTGATCGTTACACCAAAATTCTACTATGTTCTCCGCAAAACCAATGGTATGCAGTTGATTCGCATTCTGGACTGATGAATACGGGAGCGGCGACTAACAAAGATAAAGATCCGTCTACGCGTCTCACACGCCGCCTGACATCTGGTTCAACCTTATGTGGGCAAGACTGTCAGACTGATGTATATGCTGATGTACGGCTGACAGCCTCACACAGTTTATTGTCCGCGCCTGTTATGTAACTGATGATACGATTGGGTGTAGTGGCCTCTGAGGCGTGAAAGCCTCCGTCCAATGTATGTCACGTGCACGCGTCGCAGTAATAGACTTTGCACTGCCCCAGGTCCAAGTGTCACTAACCTGTCCGGCCCCCCTTTCAATTCAGTACATTTGAAGCTAAACCTGGAGAGGAGAGAGGACTGTCGACAACAATTAGCACCCGTCGTATCTCGAATTCCCGGGAAAGCCAAGCATGTACAGGGGTCGTACCGTTGCTTTGAAAAGCGAGCCATAAGGGTCCAAAACTAAGTGGTAAGAGTTTTCACCCATGACATGAGTTTGGTCGCGGCGTGATCAAATTAACTTTTATGGAACGGCGTATTCAGCCAATACTGATGTTGGTAAGCAAGCCGGAAATGGATATTTCAATTTATCTTGTCTTTGTCCGTGATATCGCCTGCTTTCAATCGTTCTCCGCTGGCCGTGATGATTACTGATCGAACCTTTAGGACGAATCGCGGAGTCTCATCCCCGGCCTTCAGTCAGAACAGTGGATGCGATAGCTGGCACAATAGCTTTATCCGCTTGACGTTTCGGATTCATGTTCGAAACCCTCATCAGATATGGGTCATTCGAGCACTAGGGGCTGCAGTCGTCATGCTGTTGCAAACCTACGAAAATTAACGGTTCCACTTCACTGAGGATTATTGTCGTTTGTGCGATAATTGCATGACGGTCGGCATTGGAGTAATTATTCGCCGCGATTTCGTTACCTGTGCTGAATTTCGGCGTGACATTTAGGTCACTTGACCTGTCAACACTGACGCTGTAAGTATTATTCACCCGCGCGCTCCTGTCGGCGCCAATTACTCTGTCCGAGCACCGAATGTGAAGGCGGTAGGTCCTTGCATTCGTTATTTGACTGCGGTCCAGAGAACCACGGCTCAGGCAGCTTGCGGCGCACACGACTGCCACTTCTCGCGAGGATTTTGGCCTAGTCGAGCTTAAATGTGTGATCGGGTCTCGTCGAATAAGCCGCGACTCCGGAACCGGCCAAGCGTTCAGCCTCTCGCATCCGAGGCAGTCTACTAGCTTCTTCGACGTACTTGCTTTGCCAGATCCGATAAACGGCTACAGACGCTTCTTGCTGAGACAGTGGGTCGTTTGGTTTCATCCCCTGAGGTCTGTTTGCAACCCCAACTCCAAGTGATGAGAGAAGGGTGTGGACCGCCGTACGCGTTTGGGCTTGGTGCGTTTCGGCTACATCCCTTGGCAGCAAATGAGAACATTAAGAAGAACGAGCGGTTGGTACTTCTCCTCCTTCGTAAATTGAATGTCCTGGAAGACAACGTTGGGACATCCTTTGGATGCCACTACCTGACCCAGTTTGATGACGACGAAGGTGTCATCCACATACCGAGCACAGTAATTCAGTCTGTGGCGTTTAAAGATCATAAACTGTGCATTACCGCTCCAGCTATGAGTGCCGAAATCGGCGGACTCATTGGTGTGCCTTTTACCTGCTCGCAGATTATTCCGTTCAACACGAGGTGCGTCCTGAGGCAGAACTTAAGGAGTTGAAAGATCTGGGAGTGCCCAAGATGACTCACTGTTCCATCGTAGTTGCTTCACAAGAGTAAATCAACGGGTTCAACTGCCGAATCCCGTGGAAGAAAAGTAACGAAGGACGTGACATCAAAGGCAGAAAACCTACCCCGTAGAGAACGCGATGAGTCAACAAATTTAAGATCCCGAAGTCGCAAATCAGGAGGACTGAGTTCTTGAACGAAAGAGCGTACGGGTAGCCCAGCAAGCGCGTTCTCTCAGTGTCCGCCGTTGGTGTCCGTAGCTCCCCCCCCCCTCCGCGTGCCTGCAGCCAATCAACGGATGGCACAGTTTGATCGACTTCGAGCTCCCCCGAGGCCCGTGCCAAATCTGGTGCGATCTCAGCGGCGAACTGACAGGGAGCATGGGGCACTCAGACAGACTGGATAACAAATCGGTGGCGATGGCGATCGTGAGAGCGAGCTGCCACAGTACCCCCCGGCTAGACCAAAGACGTGGTGTAGCGACGCCGAGGGAGTTGTTCATATCTTTAAAAACCACGAGTGACCAAACGGTCAGGAAAGTGAGCATGACGCCCAGTGCAGGTATACACGTGAGAAGAGTGCGACTTCTCTGCAGCTGGAGGAAGTTGGAGTTGATGGTAGGGAATGTGGAGGGGAACAGGACGCATACGAAATGGAGGGATGGAGGGCAGAGGAGATGAGGAATTTCGTCCAGATAGATGTCCGGCCCTATGCTCGCCGGTCTCTCCTGAGTTCCACGCTTCGTTTCGCAAGAGACAATCCTAATGGGGTCGTCATAGGTTGACTCGATTGCATTGGGGACAGATGGGAGAGCATGTCGTCAAGTCTTTCCCTAGAAAAAAACTCGTAAAATCGGTTGCCTGGCCGGGAGCGCGGAAATGTTCCGCATTGATTACTGGAGACGGTGCAGGAAGTTGGTAGGATCCTCGACCACACTGAGAAGGACTAGAGACATCATTTAACCGGGAAGTCGGACAGTAGTGCTGAACGCCATTTCGTAGGTGGAACAGGCAAGGAGCGACTTTAGTGCGAAGCGGGTGCCAGTAGAACCAGGGGAGGATCCTCCGCATCGGGTCAGAAGAAGCGAGACGTAAACGCGGCATCACGATTAATCTTACAGAGGGCACCAACGATGGCAACACATTGAGTGAGGAAGGCCATGGTCACCGTTGCAATCTCGGCAACTATCGCACTAAGGACAAGAATCTGCGATCGCGTATACTTAATCTCATAAGCTATGTGGGGCTTGAATTTTCGCCTGTATTGGCATTTGGGACAGTTCAGTGAATGCCACTCCTCGGCCCCCGCCCGATGGCTAACTGATGGGGGCTGATAAGCCAGAAACGAGGATCCTGTTTTTCCCTGTGTTTGCCATTTACGTTGCCACCAGACGTAAATACTAATGAACAGATAGTAGATGCATTATTACAGGGACAAAAACCTAAAGATTAACAAGTTTGTCTTTATCAATTGCATTGGTGTGCATTTAGTGTTGCTAGAAGATACGGAAGGCATTTCTAGAATGGCGCTATGGAAACAAAGGTCCATTAATGCGTCACTTTGTGCTTAACTAACTTACTTAACTCGAGGTTCCCCATGGACGACTAAAGTCCCAGGTGAAGAGAATGAAAACGCCAATTTCGCGTAAACTTTTTCCTCAGGTTCCTTCCATCTGGCTTGCGTACTATTTCGAGACGCCCTGTGAGTAATTAATCATGGTGTTTTATGTCCCGTTTCAGCTGGGCCACCTGCGACTATCGTAGTAAGTCGAATAGTCGTCACAGATACCACCATTTCCATAAGATGGAGAGTGCCCTCTGGTCAGTATGGAGATGTCGAAGGCTACCATATCTTCGGTAGTGGGGTGGATGTGAACCTTCCTGTACATACTACGGAGTATGTTTTCACCGGACTAACGCCCTTCACCGTGTACAATTTCTCTATTGCCGTAGAAAACAAGCCCTCTGTGGATGCTCGGGGTGGAGGACGAGGCAACTATACGTCGATTTCTTATCGCACGTGCCCTGGCGGTAAGCACACCCAGTTGACCGTTTTCAAGCTGACATTTTGGAGCAATTACCCGCTACGACCCCTGTCTTGCAAAGCGATTTATGTTTACTTTGAGGAATTTGATGGACTGAGAGGATGTTCCATTGTAACCGCACTTAAATTAGTCCTAATTTAAATACAAGAGAAAGTATAAGCGCAGCAATGAGAACCAGCTTTCAAGTTTTCTTTAAACAAACTCAACCCACTTTGTTGTTTTGCCTATATATATAGGCAGTATGTTATTACCTACAAAGACAAGGGAGCCTGGAATGGCCATTTCTGGCTTATTAGCCGTCGTCAGCCTGTCATACCCAACTCCGAGGTGTGGAACGCCTGGGGCTAGAACTCGCGACCTGTTAGTTTGAATTCCAACGCCTCTAACCACTGGATCACGGGCTCGTTGTCCTGTCGGTTCCGATCGGGAATATACAATGATAGAGAGGCGCTCACCGATCGTTCTTACGGAACCCACTCGTTCCGTTGGGCCTTACGGGCTCTCTCTCGGGTTCAACCAGCAGCCCCACAGCGGTGGTTGCCAGCGATTGATTTCTGAGAGAAGTAAATGGCTTCAGTCTCAGAAAACTAAACTTTCTACCGAAAAATCACGGGATGCGCAGCAGGCCCCCTTAGTAAGCCGAACCCCGCGTCGAATATCAAGGAGACACGTGTCTGGGCTCTTAGCTATTACTGCGCTGTCAAGTGCAACTTGTATGTACGTTCCTTGGAAATGTAGTAAACTTCATTAGGTAAATTTCCGATGCTGATGTTTGGTGATGCATAAATCATCTGAGTGCATGATTTCAAGAAACTCTCGGCCTATTTTGCCGCGGCGAACTCCGACTATGCGGGCTTCATAGCATGCAAAGATATGCATGGCCATGTGAGACAGACGGTCTTGCCTCTTAACTGCCAGTCGACGTCCGTGGGTTCGTATAGAAGCAGATTTCCCTGTTTGGCCACAATACACGGCACCACAGGCATTGCATGGAATCTTATAGACGACTTCTTCCTTATCAAGATAGCCAACCATATCCAGGGGATGTACAAGCTCAGCACGTAATGTAGACGTCGTCTTGTGCGTCACTTTTATTTTTTCGTCATCGGTTGAGAGTGATAGGGAAACACAACACTTCCCGTGGAAGTGTTTGCCGGCAAACATAAACAAAGAAAAGGAAAACCGGTAGGGGTGTTGCAAGGAGTCAGCCACGGGATGTATCGGGCGTGAACCTTTAGCAGCAGGCATCAAGACTAAGGTTCTGTTTCGTCCACCTCAGGTTCTGTTGATAAGACGGCTATCGGACCTGACGCTGAAGGCCTACTCGACAGCCCAAGAATTGCATTTAAGTTGAACTCGGCTAATAGCACGGTGTGAAAGCCAATAATTTGAACTTCGAGGAGGCCATTGGTGCTGCCGTTGGTAGCCTGAATCGTAAGAGTCAATCCTAAACTGTCTGTGCCACGCAGTCGCGCCAGAGAGCTGAGAGGTGGTTTCCGGAATACGTGCTCCAGAATCCCTGTTAGCGGAAAATGACACACCAACGACGACTATTCAGGTATCGGCACAGACAGGAGCCACAGTTTCATCCATGGCGTCTGAGATCGGCACTGGCCGTGTTGGCCTCCAGATCGTCACTGGATCCGCAACTTCATGGGGAACGTGATTTAGGAGCATGTCTGTAGGAGCAAAGAATAGTCTTAAGCCCAAATAAACTTAGTATAGTGGATTGGACCTCGCACATTAGTACACACTTCGATAAACTCGCGTGACCACTTCGCGAAGACTTGCTAAACACCATGTAGGCTTTGTGATGCATGTCTCTGATATCATCAGTAGAGAGGAAAAGTTTGAGATGATAAAAATTAGGCGATTCAGGTTCAGGATGGGCAAGAGAATTGCCTAGACCATAATTCGGCGGTTGAGATTCTTTTTTCCGCTTGCTTTTGATTCTTATCTTTAAGTGCATCACCTGTAATAAAAAAGATATGCCACTGTCTTCAATGGCACTGACTGTGGCTTATGGGTTACCATGATTAAATTGTTAGTATTCCCAAAGTTTGGAGGCTAAACGAGCGCAAGTCCACTGTAGTTCAGAGAGAGGAACTACCTAACAACCTCCTCTGGGTAGCTAAAAAGGTGGCGAAGAGTCACCGCGGGACCGTGCTTAACCGTAATCCGTCGTCCAAAGTCTTCTATTGCATAAGGACCAAATCCGACCGAGATTTATCTCCTACTTGCCTTAACATGGGTTACTGTCGTTATGTTCGAAACTGAGTTTGCGGCCCTGCCAGCACCAGCCCCGCCTAACCCCCTCAAATATCGCGGAGCTAGAGGGAGCTATGAAGGGGCTTGGAGGGACTGTGGAAGGGGCTGTGGGGGGACATTCTACGCGACTGCCCACCTGGGCCCATCAACGAGAAAAATGCGCAGGGGACGCCACATTTCCGCCCACTTTTGGCACTCCTTTAAAATATCAACCTGTATGGTGAGTCCCCTGAGGTGCACACATGTAATACCGACCGGCAGAAGTTTCAGAACTCAGTATAGACATTTCTCGTTCGGGGGATTGATTGCCAACTGCTGTCGACGTTCAGGGAACCTCATACTCAGGCTCTTCAGTGGCCTCATAATATGCCTTCGTCTGGCGCTTAATGCGCTTGTATATGGTGATTCGGTGAGAGCCACAGTAATTACGCTTCATAATTGCTTTGGATATTCAGTAAAAAAAGACAAACAATTTGTATAAGTATAACACCAAGGCTCAATAGTACATGCATAGACATACAAGTCGACTACTTGAACTGTCTGATGAGTAAATATCAAAACAATTAGCATAAGATACATAAATTAACTAAGGCAGTTATCAAGAGCATAAAAACAGCATTGGTTTACGCACGATATTATCCGCGACCCGTGGGCGTAAACGAATGCTTTTACCATGATTTATAAGCCTCTTTTGATAAATTAGCTCCCTTTAATGCCAAAGAAAGTACAATGAGTGGTGCTTTTGAAACATAACTTTCGATGCAAATACGCTTAAAATGTTTCAATCCCGAGCGGGCTCCGGTCCCACCCAGCCCCTGCCCAGCACCACCTATGAAGGGGCCATGTGCTGGCAGGGGGGCTGCGGTTATCTCTCAGGCCGACTTAAAGTTGGGCGATTTTGTGTTTTTGATAACCATCCAACTATTCACATTTACGTCTAACAGCGGCAAAGGCCACTAAATAGGCCAAAAGGAACATTTCTGCCCAAGAGTAAACAACGTTGATGCAGGGGAGGACACCGTCAGTGGACAGGTTGCTGTCTGGCCGAGTTTGATCTGGCAACTGGAACGAGGGAGAATGCATGTCCTTCTACGTAGGGGATCATTTCCTGCCCTCTAATGATGAATTGTCTTTTTCAGTCGGTAGGCCTGTACGGAACCTGACAGTAATCCCACTGGGCCAGGCCGCAGAGATCTCGTGGAAAGCCCAATATCCTCCATTTGGAGACATTGAAGAGTACCGCGTAACGTTGAAAGAAGAGGACATAGTCTTCTTGAACCTCCGCTACCCGGCTGATGTCACGCTTCCACAGAGGGTTCCAAATCTCCGGCCAGGCGTGCAGTACACTCTCTCCGTCGTCACCGTAAATAAGGCCGAAGGTGGTTGTGCGGGGAGCGGTGGTCCCAGCACCCCAGTGACGGTGGCCTTTAAAATCCCCGCAAGAGGTTTGTATGCACGTTAAAAAGGCAGCTTTGGGTTTCTTTTTATTAAAAAAATGACAGGGTTCGTCAGACACCCGGGAACTTGAATTTTATGAGGTGTGCCAATTGACCTGCACATCCACTGAAAGTACTATTTACAGTTTCCGACAAATTTCATATGCGGTTGAAGGCATTGATGAGGACTGACTGATCATTAATTAGGCAGGTTAGGGGAGTAACCGTTTAATTGTTAATAAGCATTATCGACCCATGGTCAGATTGGGATTGTAGCTGCACAGCAGTGAGAAGATAATTGTGGAGGGATTATTGTACACAGAACCCGAAGTTGTCCTCTCAGGCGGCAGTAGCCACTGGCGAAGCCAAGGCTGGTGTTGGCTGCGTCCAGTCAGGCCGGAGAATCCCTGGGACAGTGGTGGCAGCTGCTTTTGTAGACCCGCGGGTCAAGCTCAAGTGGTGTCCAGTCAGTGTGTGTTGCCTTTGCCGAGGGGTGGTGTCGCAGTGGCTTAGGTTGCGGGTGTAGGCGGGGGGGGGGGCTTCCAAGGGGCCGCATGGGCAGCTGCAACTGTGCGGACGCATGTATGCTTGAGCTGTGGGTCGTTTGACTCCAGGTCAGCGCGTCTGGAGGGTAGCACTGCAAAAAGGAAAATGACCGTGGGACAGTGAAGATATGAACAAAGACACCAGACAAGTCCTGATGGCTGACCGCCAAAGGATCAGTGCTAGGTGGAAGCAGAGTTAATCTTGATACGCAGACATAAGCCCGCAAGTGGCTCAGTGAAAATCGGACAAATGGACACGCCCAATGTGTACAGAGCGGGAAAGACTGCCCAAAAAAGTGTGCAAATGCATTTAAAAATAAAAAAATTAAGAAAATTAGAAGGAAGAGCGATATAAAATTCAACGTAGAATAACGCATCATCAGCGCAAAAAAATGCTATAAGTGGCCAAGAAAGAACAAACAGATAATATTGGAAAACAAACGCTAAAGTCATAGACAAGTGCGCAGACAGGCAAGCCGGATCAGTCAGTACATCATCAGCTGCAGCATCTAGTACGCTCATCTTACCCTCATGTTGCTTATCTCCTTCTCACCAACTTACAGCCTACATGCTACCAGTTCCAAGTAAGCGCGGCAGTAAGCAATACCAGTAGGTTAGTTAATGTACTATACAATATGTGCAACAACCTGAGCATAAATCAGTCAAGTGATGCGACATTTCGCCTGCAGCGGCCTGTCCATTAGGATAAATTCAAGAGGACAGTCAAAAAATGGGTTGACAATGTTGAAGGTCAGCTAGTGTGAGACCTCAGCACAAATCCATCCACCTGCTCTCCATTGCCTCAACTCTTCTCCCCCATCTTTCATTCGTCTTTTCACTACTCACTAACGCATTCATCACCTTAACATCGCCTAATGCATCTTATCCTCTTGCCATTTCAAGGCACCAACATCACCGACGCCACCAGCGACACCAGCACCAGCACCGACACCGACACCTCCACGCCTGAATTGGCTGCACTGGTTAGAACAGCATCAACAGCATCGGATGCTGCATCATCCACAGGTAGGCGGCCCACTCTCCTCATCTTTCCTTGCTTCCATTGTCAACTGCTGTCCACACCTCTTAACTTCTCCTTCCACAACCTGCTCCCATGCACCTCATCCTCTCAAGCCGCATTCGGCTCTAATTCACCTCTGCCTCCCTTCCAATTCACAGGCGACACCTCCACCAGCACAAGCGAAAGCCAGGCCTCCACAATGCCTACTACGGTTGCCGGATCATCAGCTGCAGCATCTAGTACGCTCATCTTACCCTCATGTTGCTTATCTCCTTCTCACCAACTAACAGCCTACATGCTACCAGTCCCAAGTAAGCGCGACAGTAAGCAATACCAGTAGGTTGGGTAATGTAATATTCAATATGCCCAAAGATCTGAGCATAAATCAGGCAAGTGATGCGACATTTCGCCTGCAGTGGCCTGTCCATTAGGATAAATCAAAGAGGACTGTCAAAAAATGGGTTGACAATGTTGAAGGTCAGTTAGTGTGAGACCTCAGCACAAATCAATCCACCTGCTCTCCATTGCCTCAACTCTTCTCCCCCATCTTTCATTCGTCTTTTCACTACTCACTAAGGCATTCATCACCTTAACATCGCCTAATGCATCTTATCCTCTTGCCATTTCAAGGCACCAACATCACCGACGCCACCAGCGACACCAGCACCGACACCGACACCTCCACGCCTGAATTGGCTGCACTGGCTAGAACAGCATCAACAGCATCAGATGCTGCATCATCCGCAGGTAGGCGGCCCACTCTCCTCATCTTTCCTTGCTTCCATTGTCAACTGCTGTCCACACCTCTTAACTTCTCCTTCCACAACCTGCTCCCATGCACCTCATCGTCTCAAGCCGCATTCGGCTCTAATTCACCTCTGCCTCTCCTCCATTTCACAGGCGACACCTCCACCAGCACAAGCGAAAGCCAGGCCTCCACAATGCCTACTACGGTTGCCGGATCATCAGCTGCAGCATCTAGTACGCTCATCTTACCCTCATGTTGCTTATCTCCTTCTCACCAACTAACAGCCTACATGCTACCAGTCCCAAGTAAGCGCGACAGTAAGCAATACCAGTAGGTTGGGTAATGTAATATTCAATATGTCCAAAGATCTGAGCATAAATCAATCAAATGATGCGACATTTCGCCTGCAGTAACCTGTCCATTAGGATAAATCAAAGAGGACAGTCAAAAAATGGGTTGACAATGTTGAAGGTCAGTTAGTGTGAGACCTCAGCACAAATCAATCCACCTGCTCTCCATTGCCTCAACTCTTCTCCCCCATCTTTCATTCGTCTTTTCACCACTCACTAAGGCATTCATCACCTTAACATCGCCTAATGCATCTTATCCTCTTGCCATTTCAAGGCACCAACATCACCGACGCCACCAGCGACACCAGCACCAGCACCGACACCGACACCTCCACGCCTGAATTGGCTGCACTGGCTAGAACAGCATCAACAGCATCAGATGCTGCATCATCCACAGGTAGGCGGCCCACTCTCCTCATCTTTCCTTGCTTCCATTGTCAACTGACGTCCACACCTCTTAACTTCTCCTTCCACAACCTGCTCCCATGCCCCTCATCCTCTCAAGCCGCATTCGGCTCTAATTCACCTCTGCCTCTCTTCCAATTCACAGGCGACACCTCCACCAGCACAAGCGAAAGCCAGGCCTCCACAATGACTACTACGGTTGCCGGATCATCAGCTGCAGCATCTAGTACGCTCATCTTACCCTCATGTTGCTTATCTCCTTCTCACCAACTAACAGCCTACATGCTACCAGTCCCAAGTAAGCGCGACAGTAAGCAATACCAGTAGGTTGGGTAATGTAATATTCAATATGTCCAAAGACCTGAGCATAAATCAGGCAAGTGATGCGACATTTCGCCTGCAGTGGTCTGTCCATTAGCATAAATCAAAGAGGACAGTCAAAAAATGGGTTGACAATGTTGAAGGTCAGTTAGTGTGAGACCTCAGCACAAATCAATCCACCTGCTCTTCATTGCCTCAACTCTTCTCCCCCATCTTTCATTCGTCTTTTCACTACTCACTAACGCATTCATCACCTTAACATCGCCTAATGCATCTTATCCTCTTGCCATTTCAAGGCACCAACATCACCGACGCCACCAGCGACACCAGCACCAGCACCGACACCGACACCTCCACGCCTGAATTGGCTGCACTGGCTAGAACAGCATCAACAGCATCGGATGCTGCATCATCCACAGGTAGGCGGCCCACTCTCCTCATCTTTCCTTGCTTCCATTGTCAACTGCTGTCCACACCTCTTAACTTCTCCTTCCACAACCTGCTCCCATGCACCTCATCCTCTCAAGCCGCATTCGGCTCTAATTCACCTCTGCCTCTCTTCCAATTCACAGGCGACACCTCCACCAGCACAAGCGAAATCCAGGCCTCCACAATGCCTACTACGGTTGCCGGATCATCAGCTGCAGCATCTAGTACGCTCATCTTACCCTCATGTTGCTTATCTCCTTCTCACCAACTAACAGCCTACATGCTACCAGTCCCAAGTAAGCGCGACAGTAAGCAATACCAGTAGGTTGGGTAATGTAATATTCAATATGCCCAAAGATCTGAGCATAAATCAGGCAAGTGATGCGACATTTCGCCTGCAGTGGCCTGTCCATTAGGATAAATCAAAGAGGACTGTCAAAAAATGGGTTGACAATGTTGAAGGTCAGTTAGTGTGAGACCTCAGCACAAATCAATCCACCTGCTCTCCATTGCCTCAACTCTTCTCCCCCATCTTTCATTCGTCTTTTCACTACTCACTAACGCATTCATCACCTTAACATCGCCTAATGCATCTTATCCTCTTGCCATTTCAAGGCACCAACATCACCGACGCCACCAGCGACACCAGCACCAGCACCGACACCGACACCACCACGCCTGAATTGGCTGCACTGGCTAGAACAGCATCAACAGCATCAGATGCTGCATCATCCGCAGGTAGGCGGCCCACTCTCCTCATCTTTCCTTGCTTCCATTGTCAACTGCTGTCCACACCTCTTTACTTCTCCTTCCACAACCTGCTCCCATGCACCTCATCCTCTCAAGCCGCATTCGGCTCTAATTCACCTCTGCCTCTCTTCCAATTCACAGGCGACACCTCCACCAGCACAAGCGAAAGCCAGGCCTCCACAATGCCTACTACGGTTGCCGGATCATCAGCTGCAGCATCTAGTACGCTCATCTTACCCTCATGTTGCTTATCTCCTTCTCACCAACTAACAGCCTACATGCTACCAGTCCCAAGTAAGCGCGACAGTAAGCAATACCAGTAGGTTGGGTAATGTAATATTCAATATGCCCAAAGACCTGAGCATTGTGGCGATGAAGGATGTTGTGGATGAAGGAACGTTGATATGGCCGAAGCTTTTTCCGGGACGGGCTTTATCCCATCTGAGTTCACTTTGTGACCAAGGAAGATAAGGCCTTGTAATCCAAAGTCGCCTTTAGCAGCATTAATTACAACGCCGAAGTAGTCGAGCCGTTCGATTAGCTGTCGAAGTTGAATCTCGTGTTCAGCAGCGTAAGAACTATCCACCAGCAAATCATCAATGTAGCCGTAGACGAAGTCGAGACCTCGCAGAACCTGATCAATGAATCGCTGAGAGTTTTGAGTGGCGTTTCTCAGACCATAGGGCATACGAGTGAATTCGACTAACCCAAAGGGAGTGGTCACTGCAGTCTTCGGAACATCACTGGCCTCGATCGGGATTTGGTGGTAGGCACGCACAAAGTCGATCTTAGAGTATATTCGCTTACCATTTAGCGAAAGAGTGAAGTCTTGGATGTGCGGGACGGGATACTGATCGGGGACAGTCACAGAGTTCAACGCCCGTTAGTCACCACACGGTCGCCAGTCGCCATTCTTCTTGGGGACAAGATGGAGGGGTGATGCCCAGCAGCTGTCGGACTGTCGGATGATGCCGAGCTCAAGCATGTGATCGAACTCTGCCTTGGCGATCTTCAAACGGTCTGGAGCAAGACGACGTGGTCGGCAAGATTTGGGAGGTCCGGTGGTGGAAATATGGTGGGTGACTGTGTGTTTGATGTCCACTTCTCGAAATGAGGGGTTGGTTAGGCGGGGAAACTGCCTGAGGAGTGAGTGGAAAGGACAGTCAGAGATGGGCATAACAGTGAGAGGGCTGACGCAGGGGTTCACATCGGATTGACAACGGGCATGAAGGTCGGTGATGCAGTCGACGAGTCGGCGATTCTTCAAATCAACTAGTAGATTGAAGTGAGCTAGGAAATCGGCGCCTATGAGGGCGACGGAAACGTCGGCAATAATGAAAACCCATCGGAAAATCCGACGAAGGCCCAAATCGAGTGTGATGGAGCGCTGTCCAAAGGTGGGGATGCTGGAGTTGTTGGCAGCTGTAAGACAAAAAGAGCTGCGGGTTTTACGTTCGGCCGGAGTTGGTGGAACCACGCTAACCTCGGCACCAGAGTCGACAAGGAATTTGGCGCCAGCGATACGGTCCCAGAGAAACAAACGGCATGTGTGAAGATTGGCAACGCTTGCAGCAGCAGTGGCCTCTGGTGGCGGGTGGGATCGTCTCCCTGAGGACGTTAGAGATGCCTTGAAAGAGCATGGCTGAAGACATCGTCGAGCTGCTCCTCCAAAATGTTGGTGATATCAGCAGACGCTACTTGGAGATTGTGGACGGCGGGTGTGGGAAACGGAGGAAGTACGGCGACGGTTTGGTGTTCGCCGCGGGCCGTTAGTGGTAATTGCAGTAAGCTGGGCTTTCAGGCGCATTAATACCTCCTCAAGCCGATCCAAGCGAACGCTAGCTCCTTGAGAATTTGATTTGATGAGTGACTTCTTGTCTTGTGACATCGCGCTGTAGGTCGCCGGAAGATTGTTGTTGTTGTGGACGAAATGTTTGCGGAATTCCAGTGTTCGGAAATTAGGGGTCACCAATTTGTGGCGATGAAGGATGTGAGATCAACTTAAACCACGCACAATAAGTTCGTTTCGTCTACTGTCAGAAGTCAGGGAGCTGTGAGGACTAGTTAATTCTGTACACAGGGCAGGTTGCCGTAAGTTGGCGGTTTGCTTGCAACAGAGAAAAGCGTCCGTTCAGGGAGAGCGTCAGTCGCGGTGTGTGTTGTTTACGCGAGTGTGAGTGTCTAGGTCAGAAGGAGGGGCGACTGGCTGAGTGTTGGTTGTGGGATTGGACAAATTAGGGGAGGAATGGAGGGCGCATACTCACAAGGCCTCACGGGAATCAAGCCAGAGCGTTAGACGCGCGTTAGGAGATACTAGTTTGTGAGGGCAGCCGGGGTTCACTGCAGATGGACCGGAGGCGTCCCAGTTCTAGCCGGCCGGGGTGGTCGTGCGTCAGAGAAATGTAAGTGCTTGTCACGGCCATCGACCGACAAAACGGAGCCGGAGAAAAGGGGGGCTGGAGCGGCTCCTACAGCATAAATCAGGCAAGTGATGCGACATTTCGCCTGCAGTGGCCTGTCCATTAGGATAAATCAAAGAGG